ACAGACATCTAAGAATATATGAGCAGCCCATATTAGACTTGATAGAGTTGCTTTTTGTTTTTTGCTTTTTTTTTTTTTTTTGCTGCTGTTGTTTTTGTTTTGTTTTGTTTTGTTTTAAGCTGTGCACTGTGGAACATGGCTTTAATCCCACCACTTGGGAGGCAGAGTCAGGGGAATCATTGAGTTCAAGGCTGGCCTGGTCTACAGACTGAGTTCTAGGAGCAGTCTTAAAAATAACAACAACAAAAAGGACACAAAGCTAGGTGGGAAGGGAAGGAGAATGGATCTGGGAGGAGCTGGTGAAATAAGGGTGAGTATGATCAAAACATACTGTATGCAACTCCTAAGAATTAGTAAGAAATTAAATTAAAAAATTTTAAATGGGAAGCAATTTGAGGAAGACACCCAACCAAGATTGACCTCTGGTCTCCATACACACAAGTACATTATGAAATATATATGGATTATCAAGACAGGGTTTCTCTGTGTAGCCCTGGCTGTCCTGGAATTTGCTTTTTAGACCAGGCTGGCCTCAAACTCACAGAGATCTGCCTGCCTCTGCCTCCTAAGTGCTGGATTAAAGGCATATGCCTGACTGAATATACATTTTTAAAGGGATTGGTAAGAAAAATCAACAACATTATTATGTATTTTAAATTGCAATTCTCTTAAGATTTAGTGAAAATATTAATGCTATTGTTTCTTCTCTTAAGTTAATGCCATAATAGATAAGTATATTATAATTTATTAGAATTGTATAATGTAGACACTAATACCATTACAGGAAGATGTGACTGGGTAGTGAAACTGAGGGTGTTTCATGTCCTTGCTAGCATATTTATTTGGCTGTAACATGTAGCTATACAGCAGAAGGGCACAGACTTGAGAATCAAATGACCTCTTTTATTAAATCCTGGTGCTTGGGGCAGGGTAGGCAGTTCAGTGGTAAGCGCTGGCATAACACGTGCAAAGCTCAGGGTTAGTCTTAGCACCAGAAATACAAAACAACAACAACTTTTTTCCCACTTGGACCATTTGACTAGGAACTCAGAATGGTGGTCATGCTGCTGTTGGTGAGCATGCCGACTTGAGATCATTTCTTTCATTTTCTTATTGATACAGAGAAAAGGCTAGGTGTGAACCTGCAAGGCCAGCCTTGACTGCATAGTGAGATCCCAGTCAGCCCTGGGCTATAATGAGAGCCTGTCTCAAATAATAATCACAACATAGAGGAATATACTAGCTATCAGAGCTACAGGTGCACAGAACTTTTTTGTTTTGTTTTGGTTTTTCGAGACAGGGTTTCTCTGTGTAGCTTTGCACCTTTCCTGGAACTCACTTTGTAGACCAGGCTGGCCTCGAACTCAACTTACAGAGATCTGCCTGCTTCTGCCTCCCAAGTGCTGGGATTAAAGGCGTGCACCACCACTGCCTGGCCTGTTGTTTGTTTGTTTGTTCGTTTGTTTGTTTCGAAACAGAGTTTCTCTGTGTAGCTTTGGTGCCTGTCCTGGATCTCACCCTGTAGACCAGGCTGGCCTTGAACTCACAGAGATTCACCTGGCTTTTACCTCCTGAGTGCTAGGATTAAAGGCATGCGCCACCACTGCTTGGCTCAGGCACACATAACTTACACATCAACATATAAGTCACTTTTAGATTTTGATGAATGGATTGTGCCCTTTGCTCTACCTGTGAGTCTTGCCTCATTGCAAAGATGAGTGGAGTATGTGAGTAATGAAACTATCATATCTCAAAAATTGCTGTCTATTTTAGTCCATATTGGAGTGGGGGAAATTAGTGCTGGTCTTTCGTTTTTAAATGTGGCATATGTCATGTGTTCAGTATTCAGACCGTTACAAACACACACACACACACACACACACACACACACACACACACACACACACACACACCCCTATCATCATTCTTCCCCCCACATTGTGTCCATCCACAGTGTGAAGCTGTGCCTAGGGCTGTGGTGTGGTCTTACTAAAGCAGCGAATGCTGAGGATACCACCGTCAGCCTTGCTTTGTTGCTTGAGTGACTCTGCAGAGAGATGGGGAAAGTTAAATGAGAAGGTTTCGCACTAGAAGGCATACAGCCATTCCTTTGAGTCTTCAGGAAAGCCTGGCTTTGCCCTGTAACAGGTGTCGTTTGGTGGCACTGGTTTGTGTTCACTGTTGGACCTCTGTTGGTTCTTCCTGTTTACAGTGGCAGGACTCGGAAGGCCAGCAGCCATGTCTTGTGCCTCTGTGATCACAAAAAAAGACAACCACTGGATATTATGTTCACAACAGCCTGTTCTCACTCTGTGCTTTGCCTTTCTTTGTAGGTGAAGCCTTGAAAGGAAAGATCACAGTTCACAAGAATAAGAAGGATCCTCGTTCCCTCATTGTGACCCTGACCTTGAACAACTCAACCCAGACTTATGGTCTCCAGTGACCGTTATGGTCTCCAGCTGCCCCAAAGCCTGAAGCACACATGACTCTCATCTTTAAAGAGGGGTCGGATGGTCAGTGGGAGGGGCAGGCTCCACGGAGCTGCAGCTCCTGGGTAGTAAGTGTAGATAGAGTGGGGAGCTCAGTGGAGTATGGTGCCCTCCCGCCTCTGCTGTGGGGATCCTAGTCGCAGAAGCTTGCTTGGAAGATTAGCTGAAGGGAGTCATTTAAATTGGCTTACTTTTGGACCAGTAATAGTCCTGGATTTTTATATATATAAGTTTCTTACTGTAAATTTTGTTTTTAATAATGAGCAGCACAGAGCAGCGTTTTGTTGCAGAGTTCCTTTCTGGAGGAACAGTTTCTAGTTACACTCTTGGCTGCAATATCAGGGTATCTTAAGGCTCCTGTGGATCCTCTTTGCAGAAGCCGAGCCAGTTCTCCAGCCACCTGCAGCTCTCAGCCGTCTCTCCTCAGCATCCGCTAGCCATACATAGCACTGCCGGAGGGTCTGACTTCAGTTCTTAGCCTAGGTGCCGTAGATCCTCTTAAGGCTGAGGTAGATGTATGCCTCTCAAAAATGCTGCCTTTCAGACCAGGTTTGTGTGCCAAGATCACACACCTCCTAAGATTATTAAATCATGTTATTCAGGATGAAAGAACAAAAATATTCAATAAAATGTATAACTATTGGAAAATTGGAAGTGTCTTTACACTGATTCCTGTTGTGAGGTCATAAGCATTTAACAAGTCAAGGAAGGAGTCAATTTCAAGAAAATAGTGACTTCAGCAGGCCAGCCAGGCATGTTCTTTGTCTAAACTGGACAGCAGCAGGAACTCAGGCTAGTCCTGAAGTGGGTAGGTTCCCATGAAGCTGCAGATCTCAGTGTAGTCGTAGTCTCTTTCCTTAGCCCGACTCCCCTTCACGAGATGCCGGTTACGTTAGTACAATTCAGGTGTTCAGATCAGGACTTCCATAAGTGGAGGTGACGGTATTGTCACCAGGACCACAATGAATGACCGGCCTCAGCAGGCTGGCTCCTACCCTGCACAAGAAGGGTAAGAAGATTACAAAAGAAAAGAACTGGACTGTCAGCGGAGAGGAGACTGCCCATCAGATTTTTTTTTTCTTGTGTTTTGTTTTGCAGTATTAGAATTTTACCCTGGATCTCACCCATAATAGGGGAACACTGAGCAATGCCCCAGCCTTCTCTTCCTTTTTTTTTTCTCTTTTCTTTCAGTGAATAAATATTTTCTACTATTTAAAAAAAGTATTTCTCAAAAATCATCCCTCTTGCCAAGCATGGTGGTGCACACCTTTAATCCCAGCTCTCTGGAGGCAGAGGCAGGTGGATCACTATGAGTTTGAGGCCAGCCTGGTTACATAGTGAGGATGACTTCAAGCAGGGGCTTTGTGGCAAAAGCAGGAAAGGGAAGGGATTTCATTATTGACAGAATAGGGGAGTTGGCTGTTTTCCTTAGACAAGCTTGTTCTGAAACTGCAGTCTGTTGTCTCTCTGCAACCACTGGGTGTTGGCTTGGGCAGCCACTTTTCTACAATTTCCACATAGCTGGTTTCTGGGAGCTTTGAGCTCAGTTATGTCCTTGGCTTTTGGGGTGTATTGGGGAGTGTTCCTTAGGGGAAGGTTGTTTGTTTTTTTGTTTTTTTTTTTGTTTGAATCTCATGTAGCCCAAGCTGACTTTCAACTTGCTTCGTAGCCAAGGATGATACTGGACTTTGATCCTCTTGAATTCACCTCCTAAGTAATCTGTTTCTTTTCTTTTTCCTTTTCTTTTTTTGGGGGAGGATGGGGAGGAGGGTTCAAGACAGGGTTTCTCCGTGTAGTTTTGGTGCCTGTCCTGAATCTTGCTCTGTAGACCAGGCTGGCCTCGAACTCACAGAGATCCTCCTGCCTCTGCCTCCCAAGTGCTGGAATTAAAGGCGTGTGCCACCACCGCCCAGCGTGTTTCTTTTCTTATCACATTCTTGGAATTAACCGATGTTCCCCACTTGTACCTGCCCCTTAGGGTGGAAGAACCAGGATCTCATGTGAAGTTACGTATGTAAGATCGGTCTCAGGGCTCTGTACTGCCTCTTTCTGCCAGAAGTAGTGGTACACTACTGCTAAGAGCTTTTAGCCAGAGAAATAGCAAGGCATGTGAGCCATCCCACACTTTCATGGAGACCAGGAGGTCATTTGTAAAGACTGAAACTGTAGCTCACAAAGCCACAGATTTCATCTGGACCTGCTTTCTTCTCATAGGGAGACCAGTTTGTGATGAGAGGTAAGGTCAAGGATTGCCTAGTGCACACTAAGTGCCACCATTTTGGTTAGTGCTCAGGTCTGCCACCTTCTTTATCTGAATTTCCTTCAGTTGCTCCTGCACCGCCTTGTCAGATGTGGCTCCCACAGCTAATGGTACTTCCCTGCTCCCAACTGCAGTAGGCTCCCCAGCTCCTCTCATGCTCCATAGTTGGTTGTGGGCTTTCTACTTTGGTGAGAATAACAGGGTAACTCAACGATAGTGTTTAGAGACCATGTTTCCTCAGCTGAGACTGAGGTAAAATGTGGGTGAAGTAATTTGAGGTAAGGTTTATAATCTGTGCAGAAAAGCTACTTAGGAAAGGAATAAATGTATTTTTAGTGACAGCCGTGAGAAAACAGCTCCCTCCTAGGACTCATGACTGGTCACGGCAGAGAAGGCAGGCACAGCAGGACAGAGGTTACAAGGACTTTGCTTTTGAAAATCAAAAACATGGATTGAATGAAGCAATTGGAGGTCCATCCATCTGTGCGGATGGAGGGTTGACTAGAAGGTAATGTTTGCATTTGTCTACATTAACCATGTCTAAACAGTTACAGTTGCTGCTCAGTTTAAAGAAATTTAGGAAACTGCAACTTTGTAGCTCATTATCCCTTCAGTTAGAACGCTCCAGCAGACTGGGTAGGCAAGAACCAAGCACAGTACTCACTGGTAATCCTCGTACTCAGAAACAAAGGCAGGAGGATTGCAAGTTTAAGGCCAGCCTGGGCTACGTGACAGTATGGTTTGATGTGCTTCCCAAGGCTGGTATTGGTCTCTGGTCCCAGCTGGTAGTGCTACTTTTCAAAGTATGGAAACTTGAGGTGACAGAACCTAGAAGTAGGTCTCTGAGGCCAGGTCCTTGTAGAGAGCTTATCCGGCCTCCTTCCTTAGGGCCAGGTCCTTGAAGAGAGCTTATCCAGGCTTCTTCCTTGGGGCCAGGTCCTTGCAGAAAGCTTATACAAGTTTCTTCCTTGGGGCCAGTTCCTTGCAGAGAGCTTATCCAGGCTCCTTCCTTGGGGCCAGGTCCTTGTATAGACTCCCTACAAGCACATGGAGACAAGTGAGTACATGCCAATCCTTTGAAACAGTGAACCAAAAAAACAATTTCCAGGCCAAGCGTGGTGGTACACGCCTTTAATTTCAGCACTCAGATGGGAGCAGAGGCAGGCAGATCTCTGAATTCCAAACCAGCTTGGTCTCCATAGTAAGTTACAGGGCTGCCAAGAGACCCTGTCTCAAAAGAAAAACACCAGCAGCAAAATGTAATTCCTCTGATTTTGATCAGAAGAATGAGAAAAGTTACTACACATAGCCAGGCCATCTCAACAAACCAAACAGAAATGTGTCACCAGAAGTGTTAAAAGTTGCGGTTATCACAGCGCTACCATAAACTACGAAGTGACTCAGCAAATGAATGGCTTCAGAGTCTTAAGGAACTTTCAGGAGTCTGGCTGACCTCCAGATCTCCAGGAAGGGCTCGGGGAACGTATGTCATGTCAGCAGTGTTGCCCATGCTGCTAGGCCGTTTCCTGACACCTCCGACCCTGAGGCAGGATATTTAGTGCGCCCTTGCCCACCTGTCAGCAGGGCATTGTTGCCTTGAAGGCTCGTCTGGTTTTTAACCTTGTCATGATTTCAAGTGTCTCCTTTCTAAAGTGAAACTTTCCAAGCAGAATGATAAATAAGCAGTTTCAAAATACCTTTACAACTCACTTGACCTTCCTGATACATTTTTCATATATTGTCTGGGCATCTTGGCTGATAGGAAGTAATTCATATTCCTCTAGGTCCAGATTGTAGCTGAATAATAGATAAAAGCGTTGTCACTGAATTCATGGGATTATTGAGAGTTCACAGTGAAGAAAGGAAGAAGGCAACTAAGTCCCAGTGCATTCTCTGCATGGAATATGCAGTCAGTAAAAACCAGGTCTCCATGACAACGTGAACCTTGCCGTGGGAATGTTGAACCAAAAGGTAACTTGGGATGAGCCCAATACATTTATTTCTTCATTCAAGATTTTTTTTTATTCATTATATGTGTATGAGTATTTTTCCTGTATGTATTTCTGTGTACCACGTGAATATGTGGTACCTGGGGGGCTAGAAGGAGGGCATCAGATCTCCTGGAAATGAGGTTATAGATGTTTGTGAGCCACCATGTTTTTGCTAGAATGGAACCTGAGTCCCCAGGACGAGCAGTCAGTGTTCTTAACTGCTGGCCCATCTCTCCAGCCCCTAGCCCAAATTTTTAAAAGGCTACCTATGCCAGAACATTAAAAAAGAAAACAATTACTTGTTCAAGTGTTTGCATCATGCTTGATTCTTCATAGCCTCACTTTCTGTGGAGTGATAGAAATTTGATCAATTTTTAAAATTCTCAAAATAAACTGAGTAGCTGTTGTGTGGACTTTTCCAGGGGCAAAAGAGAAACATTAATCACTCCAGCTCAGGCTCCAACAGCAGACCAAAAAGCAAGTCCACCGCTGAATCAAGACTGGTGAAACAATGAGTTTCATTCGGGTTACCTGCAGGAGCATGGGCAACTTAGAAGTGGCTACAAGCCCTAACAAAATCTCTTCCCTCTGCCACCGATAACTACCTGTATGTCCTGCAGTGGAGAGGCCCGATGGTGGTCTGTTAACAGGTCTGGGCTGTGCATGTGATCCCTGAAGCCCAGAGAATTCATGAGGGTAGAATTCCAAAATGGTAGCACTTGAAATCACATTGCCTAGTGTTGATAGTAGCAGTGAATCCGAACACACCAGTCACCCTTCAACTGGAATGTGGAGGCCCAAGAGCTCACCTAGAAAGATCACTGAGTCTCAAAATTTACTAAACACACTCCTGATGAGACCCCTAAACCTTTCAGGCCATGCAGAAGAACAGAGCTATTGCTGACAATGAGAGGATAATTGCCCTTTATCCTGTTCACAGCTGCACTGATATCACAAAGCAACCGTGGGGAAGTCACAGGCCCCCAGAGAACGGCTGTTTACATTTTGTGATCTCTTTAATTATATATGAAGTATTGTATGAAGTATTGACATCTTTTTTTTTTTTATCACTTTTGTGTGATGGGGCGGGGAAATGCATGCCACACACAGCACACGTGGAGATCGGAGAACGATTACTACCTGGTCTCCGTATATATTCTGAGCTGGGCATGGTGGCACATGCTTATAATCCTAGGGCTTAGGATCCAGAAGCTGGTGGATCTCTGTGAGTTCAAGGCCAGCCTACTACAGAGTTCCAGCCTAAGCAGCACTGCCCAGTTGAGACCCTGTCTCAAAAACCAACACACACACACACACACACACACACATACACACACACACACACACACTCACTCACTCACTAACTCACTCGGCATGGTACTAACACGGTGCCTTTG